GGTTAGGATTCTTTCTGTGGGGTTATTAAGGACCATCCTATGTTGTGTCTGTGTCTGTTCGATTGAAGCACCTGTCTCCGTCGTGGGCTTCGCCTTCGATGTGCGTTTTCGGGCACTCAGCAAGCCCAAATTGCAAACAGGGAGGCTTTCGGGGTTCAGGGTTTAGGGTTTAGGGGGCACCTAGTTCCATAGCAGTACAACATGTTGAAACTTTTTGGGGCCTGTCGGGCTGTTGAGTAGCTGCACTCCAACGCAGGCTTTGCCCCCCCCCCAATGATGCAGAACCCCCTTGCCCCCTCCAAAAAAAAAGGAGCCCTAAAAACAGTAAAGCTCCAACACCCTCCGAAGCTGTTGGCTTTCAGGGATTTCGTTTTTTTGGGTTTAGGGTTCAGGGCTGTCTGACTATAATCCTCTGTTAATACCTGGTTGACCAGCCTGCTAGCCTGTTTGGGGTGCATAAACCCAGTTGGGTTGGCGTAGGAGCCTTACGAGGGAAGCCAAGCCCGACGCTTCCTACGCACCCTGATCTGAAAAGGGTTTATCTACTAGTTGGCTTAAGAACCCCCCCCCAAAAAAAAAATATCAAAAATGGTAATCCCTTTATTGCCCTTATAAGACAGAACGTGTTTTTATATTTCGGGGTTCTTAAGCAAATAGTAGTTATGTAGGGTGCTTAGGGCCCAGGGTTTGGGCTTGCGTGTGCCGAGAAGTATGCTAGACATCGCTTGGATGGAGACCCCCCCTAGTCAAATATCATGTGACATCCCTTGCAATGCCAATCTATCCCAGAAGTCCAGAGCCCCAGGCAAGCACGGATGGGTGCCCACTATTTGCTTGGCTATTGAGCCTCGACCGAATTGTCTCTGAGAGCCCAATTGTCAAGAAACATCTGGGGGAGACATCTAAGTTAACGTACATGTTTGTCATGAACTAAGGGCATTTGTGCACACAAAGAGGGTCCCGAAATGTCCCGCGAGAGAGAGTGAGAGAGACCAGAGCCTAACCCTAAACTTTACCGGACCTGTCGCACTTAGCTGTGCCCAGAACCATCTGGGGACACCGCCTCGAAAGTAGATCGCCCTTACTGACCTACTATCAACAGCCGTACCCGAAAGCAGCGTGCGCAGGGCAAACAGCTGCTCTTACTATTTCCTTTTTACCCAAACCCCCAAACCCATTCAAGAAAAAAACAAAAAAGCACATAGAAACCCGAACCCTGTAAACTCTCAAAGCAACCTAAAACCCCAGGTTTGAGAGGGGGGTGGGGAGGGGAGTTGGGTTGCGGCTCCTATTGGAGAGATGCTATTTCCTCCACGACCTGCGTCGAGAGCCCATTGCTCATTACTTCAGGATGTTTAGGGCGCAGGGATGAGGGTTGAGGGTTTAGGGTTGAGGGTTAGGGATTCTGCTTGCGATTTCAGGCTATCTCTATCTCTCTCTCCCTCTCTCCCTCCCTCCCTCCCTCTCTCTCTCTCTATATATATATATATATATATATGTATTTGTGTGTGTCTGTCCCTAAACCCTAAACCCTAAACTTCCTTAATTCATTAAAGGCGTGTTGGAGCTCGCTGGGCGGACCCCAAACGAGGAGCCCCGACGAGAGCAACGCGTGGAGTCGCCAAAGTCGCTGCCGGCCACGCCCGCGCCGACGCAGGAGCCGACGGCTGCTTGGTTTCAGAGGTTTCCGGGGTTTAGGGTTTAGGGTTTAGGGTTTTAGGGTTTAGGGTTTAGGGATTTAGGGTTTAGGGTTTAGGGTTTAGGGATTTAGGGTTTATGGGTTTAGGGTTTCAGGGTTTTAGGGTTTCTGGGTTGGCCCCCCTGGGAAGTTTCAACATTTTCCCCGTACCTTGGGCTTAAGATTCCTAAGCCCTGAACCCCAAATCCTACACCCGAACGAGTACCATAATTTGTAACTTGGGCTTGGTTTGCTCTGTGTGTGTGTGTGTGTGTTTCTGTCTGTCTGTGTCTCTGTGTGTCCGTGTGTCCGTGTGTCTGTGTGTCTGTGTGTGTCTGTGTCTCTCTCTCTCTCTCTCTGTGTCTGTCTGTGTCTGTGTCTCTGTCTCTGTGTCTGTGTGTCTGTGCCTGTGACTGTGTGTAGGTGTGTAGGTATGTGCGTGTGTCTGCGTGTGTCTGTTTGAGGTTAGGATGAAGCTTCTTGTTTTCCTTGTGATGGTCAGGGGTTTTACATCTTCTGAGAAGACCGTGTCCTTAGTGCAAAAAACATAGGGAAGCACAGAAGAAACGAATAGGCATGCACATATGTGTATGCCTGTATGTATATATATATATATATGTGTGTGTGTAGGCCGGCTAACCCTCAATATAAGAGCCTAAGCAATTCAGCTAAATACATAGAGGGCAACCATATTGCCGCAACTAATTTGAAGGACGGAAATGCAGCGTAATTAGCATCTTAATCATATTCAAATCATAGTAAAGGACTTGTCGAGACAATCAGAAGCACAGAGTTTAAACGACCTTTCAAAGTCCTAGGAAGATGCAAGCAGGAACTCAGCCGCTGCTAGCCCCGAACTGCAAGAAGTATTTGGCCCAGAGCATTATACAGTAGTTGAAAATCACGAATCGTTTTGTAGATGAATCTCCTTACAATCGAAAGATCTCAGATATTGAATGGGGATGAACTGAACTTAATTAAGAATCAAATTCAACTGTGTCTCTATAGCAAAGTACTCTATAGTAAACTACACTAAGGTTCATCTGAGTAGAGGTTCATTGAAGTAGCGCTGTCCATGTATTCTGATTAGCCCATCGAGGAGATTCAGACTTAACGTGTGCACGCCGCAAGAGAAATCAGATGAATACTCGGCATAGAGATTGGTTGTCAAAGTCGTAGGTTTTCGGGTGGATTGAAGGTGCCCTGGGAGACCCGACCCCAATACAGCACTCATCCCTGGTTTCCCATTCATGGGAACCGCGACAGCAAAACCCTAAGCCCGAAACCATTGCGGGCGAACCACTGCTATTTGCTTAATTAAGAACCTCCCCTAAGCCCCCTAAACCCCTGAACCCTAAACCCAGTATTTTTTTTAAAATTTTTTTGGGGGGCGTCACAAGCCGAACAAGGTCATCGTTACTCACCCAGAGTACATGGACCAGAGCACAAGGAGCCAGCTCCGCGATGGCTTCGGGTTTAGGGTTTGGGGTTTAGGGTTTCGGGTTTAGGGTTTCAGGAGTTTAGGGCACATATGGGTTACATAGGGCTTCTGCTTACAGGATTTCGGAACATTACAAGCTCATTTTTCGGGGAATACTCCAGTAACGGCTTACAGTTTTAGGGCATACAGGGCTTATCCAGTCTAGGGCTATGGCAGTTTAGGGTGTGCGGCGTGGGGTTTCGGCTTCATACTTGGAGGTTCATGGGTAGTTACCCTACAAAGGTTATAAGTACAGTTACCATACTTTTGGGCCTACTACTTTTTTGCTACCCATGAACCTCCAAGTATGGCTATAGGGTTCAAACAGGACTTGTAGGGTTCTGTCAGGTGCAAAGAGTTTATAGAGTTGAGAGGGCTTCTCGGGTCATGTAGGGCTTACAGGGCCTTCGAGGGTTTGGTAACCGAGGCGTGCGTGCGCATATAGGGTTTAGGACTTTCGCGGCTTGTCTCGCGAAGTTGCGAAGTTGCTTGAGTACTGAGGCATGTGGCAAGGCAGTTGGGCTCCAATGCAATGGCACTCTTCGTTGCGCCCTCCTAAACCCTAAACCCTAAACCCTAAACCCTAAACCCTAAACCCTAGACCCTCTAGGCGAACCGAATACGCGCTGCATGCCATCTACGTAGTCCCCCCAAGTTCGGGGATGCACCTGAAGTTATGAGAACAGGGACTTGAGCCCTAAACCCTACACCCTTGGGATCTTCTTTCTTTATAGCCTTTACCCTAAACCCTAAACCCTAAACCCTTGGGATCTTCCTTCTTCCGAGCTTCAAATATTCTCCACCACGGGGAGCCCATGGCCGATGCTCCCAGAGAGCCCTCCATCAGTGGCTTGGTAGCCCAGTGGTACCCTTTACCCTTTTTTCGGTTTAGGGTTTAGGGTTTAGGGTTTAGGGTTTAGGGTTTAGGGTTTAGGGTTCAGGGTTCAGGGTTTAGGGTTTAGGGTTATAAAGTAGCCACCCCCAAAATGGTGCCCTTAAATAGGGTTACTGGGCTACTAAGGTGGACGGAGGTCCGTACCTTTGCCGCAGCAAAGCCTGCGCCTTGGTAATCCAGTGTTGTGCCCTGTTTTCCCTTTTTGTAGGCTTTAGGGTTTAGGATTTGGGGTTTAGGGTTTAGGGTCTAGGGCTCCCCTTGTAAAAGTAGCCAACCCCCCAAGAGAAACAAAACATACACATATATATATATATATATATATTTATTTATTTACTTATTTATAATCAACTAATTAAATAAAGGACAAGGGGTGCCCTTGTGATGATATGGTTTTCCTGGGCTACCACTACAATTGCTTAAGAACCCCCAAGAAATGAAGAATAATCTTCCTTATAAGAGTACTACAGGGAGTATGACTATAACAAAATTAGTTTAAATCTTCCTTATAAGAGTAAGATTGTTTTTTTTTGGGTTTAGGGTTTAGGGTTTAGGGTTTAGGGTTTAGGGTTCTCTTAAGCAAAGAGTAGACCAAGGAGCGGCATTCTGCAGGTCTGGGGAGTTCCGCCTCCACCCGAGCCGGCAGCTTGCAGCCAGGACTCCTCGGGATTAGGGTTTAGGGTTTAGGGTTTAGGGATATTCGGGGATGTTGTTTTGAATTCTTATTTCCTAAGAAACAGCCAACAAAAATCAGCAAAAAATATGTTTTTGTTGTATCACTTTTATTTTCCTCTAAAACGACGGAAATCATTGTTTCGTTTTGGCACTTTATTTTCAGAAAACAGCCGAAATCAAAGTTTTGGGGCACTTCATTTCCCCAGAAACAGCTAAACCCTAAACCCCAAACCCTAAACCCTAAACCCCAAACCCTAAACCCTAAACCCATTTCCATGTTCTGCTCGGGTTCCAAGGCTTGCCGTCAGGATTGGCCCGAGTCAGCGGACTCGGTCACGATCAAGAACCCTCGGCTGGCTTTTGGAAGGGTTTAGGGTTTAGGGTTTAGGGTTTAGGGTTTGGGGTTTGGGGTTTGGGGTTTGGGGTTTAGGGTTGAGGGTTTAGGGTTTCGGATAAAAGGGACCCTACATATATACATATATATATATATACGTATATAGATGTTGTTGTTTTTTAAGGGTTTAAAAGGCGAACCCAGGAACATTCCGGGCCGCGTCCGGGCGCAAAAAGTATTGTCGGCAGTGCGTGCACTGGGCTTCACAGAGGACGACCTTGTCTACTTGCATCTTCCCGTGAAGCAGGGCCGGACCTTCTTCAATCTCGGCTACTGCTTCATCGGCTTTTGCAGCGTGGCTTTGGCAAGGCAGTTCCTTTGTCATAGTTGGGTAACATGTTATACATTTGTAAGGGTACTTAAACCCAATAAGGAACCTAAACTTATTTTTTCATATTCTCCGAACCATGAACTAGGTTCTGGGAGAAGTCCTCGAACTTCGCGTTTCCGGGTCGCACAAGCCTGAAGGTCCCTCATGTCGAAGCCGCCACAAGATCGGTGAGTCGCAGTCGCTCTTCTTCCATGAGTGGGGAGGTGCTCTGGTTCAGACGTGAACCCACAGCATGAGGAGGTCGACGTGGCCACGAGTCAGGATGAGTCTACAGCCTGCGGTCACCGGAGTTCGTTCGCAGGCGAAGGATTCGTGTGGAGATGGGGGTCCCCGTCATTCAAAGTCCATCGCATCCCTCAGAAACAACCTTGACCGCCAGAGCGGATGAGGGGTTTAGGGTTTCACTGGCATTTTGTTTATATTCTTGGGTCCAGGTCAGCTAGTTTGCCCAGAGAGCCACGGAGGTCCTTTCGTTCCAGAGCCCGTAAAACCCGAAATCATAAACCCCCTGGCAGCAGCTGGGGTTCAGGGTAAAATAGGGCAATACTCCCTATATTACCCTTACAAGGACGTCTTTTTTGTGTATGTGTTGGTGGTTCTCAAGAAACTAGTGGTAAAATAGGGCAATAATTCCTTTCTTACCCTTATAAGGACTTCTTTCTTTGTATGTGTTGGAGGTTCTTAAGAAAATAGTGGCAAGTGGTCAGACTCAACATGCTCTCTGGACAGCCAGACAGCCGGATCCGCAGAGACAACACGTGATGGGCCCATGGGATGTTGTATGTGGATCGGAGTGCTTTTTTAGGGGTCATGTATGTGTCTGTATATATATATATATATATTATGGACACACATACACACGCATACATATATGCGAAGGGCCAGCCAAATCATTTTATCAGATGCTTTCTCCGACGTGGCCAGCATGGCCAAGAGCAAAGCTATAAGGCTTCAGGTTTCAGAATTTCGGTTTGGGGGGGGGGGTTTAGAGTTTAGAGTTTAGGGTCTAGAGTTTAGAGTTTCGGGTTTAGAGGGTTTAGAGTTTAGGGTTTAGGGTCTAGAGTTTAGAGTTTAGGGTTTAGGGTCTAGAGTTTAGGGTTTAGGGTTTAGAGTTTAGGGCTTCGTGTTTAGGGGTTTGGTGTGGTGGAACCCTCAGCCTGTTTGCCAGAGCCAAGAGTAGGCCCTCATTCCATGTTTTAAGGGTTGAGTTCCCCTCTAAGTGTCTTTTCAACCCCAAAAAGTTTAAAACACAAAAAAAACTTGTTGATCCGAAGTTCTTCTGGGGTCTAGTTCATCTCAAAACCTTCGGGTTTCGATTTTTTGTTGTGTTTCTAAGGGTAGTTACATGCTCCCTTGGCAAGGTCCCCGACAAACTTTAAAGAGTTCTGAAGTATGGACCCTTAGGTTCTGTAGGGTACAAAAAGGGGAAGCAAGGCGTCCCCATTTAAGGGCCCGTACCAACGGGCCATGCAACTTCCCTGAACCTTAGACCCTGAACTTCAGATATCGAAGGGCACACCCTTATGTAACTGTGCTTAGACTAGGATCTGCTCAAGAAACGCAAAAAAAATCAAGGAAAGAAATATTCTTCCTTACAAGGGTAGTCCAGGGATGATGTTCTTGCATTTTTGTGGGTTCTTAAGCAAGTCGTAGTAACCCTAAACCCTAAACCCTAAACCCTTTACCCGAATGTTTGTTACTTGAAGCCTTTGCGTTGCCTCACACGACGTGGAGGGCTCCGCGAGACTCCAGGCCATCCTCCCAAGTCGGGGCTTCTCTTTTAGGGTTTAGGGTTTAGGGTTCAGGGTTCAGGGTTTAGTGGGCTGAGCAGGGTACTCAGCAAAGACCCTCTAGGGAGGAAGGCCAAGGGTGCGGCGCTCTTAATGCCACCTCGCGCGAGGCTTCGTGGTCATTCTCGGGTCCGGCAGCGAAGTTTGGGCGCCGGACCCCACATGAGGGTCTGAACCCTACATGGGTCTAGGGTTTAGGGTTTAGGGTTTAGGGTTGTGACATTTCTTTTCGAGTCTCGGCCGCCTAGACTGGACTGACTCTGGGTGATCTTTGCAAGTTTTGTTGGTCGAAGCGTGTCCCGTGTTAGGCTGCCGAGATGTTTCTGCAGTGCTGGTTTGCTAGGACCGGGAGTAAGCCCTTTTTGCCTTTTTTTAGGGTTCGGGTTCCCTTATAAAATCCTCTTACAACCAGAAAGGGTGCCCTTTTCATTCCTTGGTTACTCCCGGGTCTAGTATGTATGGCTGGCTCTCTGAAGCAGTCCCAGCAGTGTTCGCGCGCGTGCTGGGCGGATGGCAAAAAGAGAGCAACCTTCCTTTACAATGCTTGGTGCTACTTGGAGGGTCATGGGCAGTCATAGAGTAGGCTAAGTAAAGTAAATCTAGCCCTAAACCCTAAACCCTATATTCATTCCCATGAGCCCTAAACCCTAAACCCCCCAAGTGGGTTCCCTTGCGAACCCTTTGGCCCCCACACTCGCCGGAAGGCTCGCAGCCTTGCGTGTCTGTTCTACAGTTCCAACAGTGCGTTAAGGGTGCGGGCAAGTATAGGATCTAGAGCTTAGGGCTAGAGTTAGGGTTTGCGTTTAGGGTTTAGGGTTTAGGGTTTAGGGTTTCGGGTTTCGGGTTTAGGGTTTAGGGTTTAGTGTTTCGGCGGTTGGGGGTTGCGGCTCAGCCCCTGCCCCAACCCTAGACCCTAAACCTTACAAGTTAGGGGGACCCTCGAGAAGCCGCAGGAGCGAGCTGCTGCGGACCATCTCGAACCACCAGCAGGGCCTCACTCCCAAGGTGACTTGTGTTTAGGATTTAGGTTTTAGGGTTTGGGCCCTTTGGATATTTTTCGTGTTCCCCTTGTCCATAATTCCTGAGATCCCTTGTTAAGGGATTTGGGGTTTAGGGTTCAGGGTACCCTAAACCCTAAACCCCTAAGGTTCAAATGAAGGGCTACGTGGTTGGTTCGCTAAAGTCTGGTCCCTTTTGGGAGAGTCGGGATCCAAAAAAAAGCAGCATCATGTAGGGAGCCCACCATAAAGGGTACCTGATCCCCTCAGTTCCTCCCTAAACCCGAAACCCTAAACCCTAAACCCTAAACCCTACAAAGAAACATGATGTCTTGCTGGGGATCCTTCTGGGTCTCCGGATTAGGTGGCACCCTGTGAACAGGAAGGGATTAACTAGGGTTTAGAAGGAGGACTACAATGCGTTGTGAGCGTATAAGGGGTACACCAAACCCTAAACCCTAAACCCTAAACCCGATTCTTGGGAACTGTCGATGCTGATAAGTGTCGCACCTGGGTTAAGTGTTGGGGGGAGTGGTGGACCCCGCGCCCGTAGGACGCGTGACAGAGCTCAACACGGCCCGACGGTTTAGGGTTTAGGGTTAAGGGTTCTTAAGTGGAGGGTCTTTGGAAAAGAGTGCAGTCGGGTCGCCTGAGTCATATCCTGGAAATCTCACACCCTAAAACCATGAACCCCTTTCAACCCCAAACCCTAAACCCTAAACCCTAGACTTCTCTGTAAGGCTTCAGCAAACCGAGGACAGCAGGAAGGTCCAAAGTACGATGTGGAAGCGAGGTCACTGCCGCTAGATATGCGCAGTCTTCGTTTCCAGGAGTTCCTACATGGGTTTAGGGTTCAGGGTTTAGGGTTCAGCCCCAAAAAACTTGGTATTTCCCCTACGATATCTCCCCAACATACTGTTAACCTTTTATGGGAACCCCACGAAGAGCACAACTCCAAGCCCCAAACCCTTATGTCAGCAAAGGCCCCAACACGTTTACCCTAAACCCTAAACCCTAAACCCTAAACCCTAAGCCCTAAGCCCTAAGCCCTAAGCCCTAAACCCTACTCTCGGACCAGGAAAAGCCTGCGCTCTTTAGCTCAAGACTGCCGCGCTGCTCTTGCTGTGTGGCCGAAGAGGGAGGGAGCATGGGGGGTGTGACTTGGAGGTTCATGAGTATTCATAAGCAGAGTTTTTCAGTACCCTAAAGAGGGTTATAGCCAACATACCATACTTATATCCCTGCATGTAACTACCCATGGTGGGGTATATGTGGTTTAGGTTTCAAGGAATTCAGTTCTCAAGCGGTTTTTGAGCCTACGGGGTTTAAGGGTAAGGCTTGCTTTGAGCCTTAAATCCTCAACCCTGAATAACTCAACCCCAAACCCTGCGCGTCCTCCCTGACAGTGGGCCGTAGCAAGGCCAGGCAAAATGAGCCATTGGCTGCAGTAAAGGGTATATAGGGTTTAGGGTTTAGGGTTTAGGATTCACGGTTAAGGGTGTAGGGTTTGCAAAAGGGCTTTAAGTCAGCGGGTTAACGGGTTCAGAAACTATAGAAGACTTGGAACCTCCTTCTGTGTGAAAACCGCATGGCCTGTACCCTTCCAAGCCTGCTGCAAAAAGGGTTCTTGTCCATGACTGCGCGTGCTCCCTTCTTAGGAGTTAAAATTAATTCTAGGGTTCTTAGGCGAGGGGGGACTCATGGGGGGTAGGGTAGGTACCTCGGGACCCTTCGGAAGGTTAGGGAGCCTTCGGAAGTAGTGGGGAGTGTTGGGGAAACTTGGGTTGCACACCGCCCTTGAAGCTGCACCCTAAACCCTAAACCCTAAACCCTAAACCCTAAACCCTAAACCCTAAACCCTAAACCCTAAACCCTAAACCCTAAACCCCTGCCTCCCCTAAGAACACGATAAGTTAAGATACCCTTACGCGCTCCTGGTGTACATGGTGTCGACGTTTTTTCCCTGAGGCTTCACGGGCCTGAGAGGCCTGTGCCGCGGATGCTGGAAGTGACGGGCAGCATAGCGATGTGGGTTATCACCCTAACCCCTAAACCCTAAACCCTAAACCCTAAACCCTAAACCCTACCCTAACACCCGGCAAGCGCGTCTTAGAGTCTATAGGGGTAGTTACATGGGTCCTTAGTATGGGCCCTTACATGGGGACCCCTTACATACCCTACCAAGCCCTAGGGCCCATACTTCATAATTCTTAAGCTTTAAAGAAGGTACGGGACCAAAATCACTACTAATTGCTTAAGAACCCTAAATTCTTCCTTATAAGGGTACTATAGGGATTGTTTTTTTTTTTTTCTTTTTGGGGTTCTTACGCAAATAGTAGTAAGGGACCATATTAAGGGACCATATAGCTTAGGGTTTAGGGCTTAGGGCTTGTGGGTGGGAAGGGCTTACATGGCTCGTAGGGTTTACAGGGTTCATAGGGCTTATAG